ATTATATTAGACTAATCATAAGATACCTACTAAACCAATTACACAACTGATATAATTAAGTTATATTATGTACCTATCAGTTATTAAAGTGCGGCTTGTATAATACATTTCCTCGATTTAGACAAAACGAAGCTATAAAATAGTAAGAACGTCTTTGGCTTGTAGTGACCCATAAGCAGCAAATAAAGTAATTAAAAAATGAAGAACACGTCTGTGCATGCATGGCACGTTTAGCATAGAACGTACTAGGATGATCTTGCATGGGAAATTCCTAGCCTATTGTTTTATTTGCTCTATGTTTTACCTCTTACGATGAAATCATCATCTTATAATTGCATTATCTAAAGCTGCGAACAAATATATAAAAATTAGAATCTCATCTTTTGTGAAAGAGAAACAAACAAAAAAGCAACGAGAAAAGAAAAGTTGCTAGATGAAAAAGTAAATTATTATAGTATATGTATAATGTATTTCTTGGGGGTGTGGGGAAATCGAGTAGATTTTGGTTCGGAACCCAAAATTTTGAAAATCTTTTCTTTTTTAGTTTTGCTGTACGAAGAATTTATCCATTGATAAGCGACAAGCTTTCACATTTTTTCATTTAAAAGGGCACTTTCTTTGTTGAACAGAGATTGTAGTTCTCTATAAAATTAAGAAAGGGTGTTAATTACATCACAAAAAGATGTTAAAATATTGGCTTCTTTCACCAAATTAAATTATCCTTATTTTTTAGTGGGACTTACCTAGATTGAGGATATCTAGTCTATCTATATATATATATATATATATATATATATGTATACTTATTTTAATGGACTAAACGATCTATAAATATATCTTTGTTATTTTTGCGAGAGATTAACATACAGTATAGACCTTTTTTCATATGTAAGACCAAAAGTCCATGTGAAATTTTCTATTTAGCCAAACTAGGCTTATTGATCTTTCTATGCCTGGTTTGATTCTAAACAATTTTGTTTACATTAATTATTTTCAAATATGTACAGAAGAAAATTCATTTTAGCTGATCTTTATACAGACATATACAAACAAATAATTGAAATCATTTCCTTTGATATCTTTAAACTATCTTTATGGGCATGTGAGCTTTCTACCAAAAAAAAAAGGAAAGAAAATAGAAGACAAAAGAATCAGAATCTCTTAAGAGGAACACCACGAAAATTTAGATGATTATCAACAGCTACAAAAGATAAGCAAAACTAAATATGTATAGAAATGTTTTATTTTCGAAAATATATGTATAAAGGTTGGTGAAGCTCAAAACCTTTTTCCTTGATTCTTTTGTGGTAAGAAAGAGGAGAAGAATCTGATGCCCTAAATCTACAAGTCTTATTAACTAACTTTTCTTTCTCTCGAAAATTGGCAAATAAAAAAGATAAAATGGAGTAATTAACGAGTCAAAGTAAACTTTTCTACAACGCATCCATTTTTTTCGTTCTTTAATTTCTTTCAAAACTTATCATGTGCGAACATTAATACTTTTACTAGATATCATAAATGATTATATCTCAAATATAAACGATTTTGAAAAAGATATGTTTTCAAAGTATAGTCAACCTCGAGTTAACTAATTAATTTTTTTTTTCCGGGTCATGTTAAATTAGTCGTCTCTTCCCCATTGTTGGTGCTTAGAGACCTCCCCAACTTTTATCTTTTGGGTGGTCAGTGGTACACCAATTTAACCGAACTTGAATCAATCTATTTCATACTTTCCTTGTATTTCTTTTATTGATAATCGGTTATTGTTTTTTGTCACGTTCATATATACATCAATACCTCTCGCGTGCTAAATAACATGGCATCGATATGGACATGCATCATCTAATTTGCTTGCCGTCTACATCTTTATACATAATAATATTATATGTTCAGTTAAATTTGCTATATTTCGCTATCAAATCACCTAATTATACAAGTTGCAACAGTACTCAATATATGAATTTGAACTTTGACTGGAAAGTCTACGACGACATGTCACAATTGTTATAATAAAATTTGGAAAAATATAAATTATTCCAATGGTCCAAATCGAATAGTCGATAAGACATAAAAATTTAGTAGGAATTATCCAAAATACTGTCATAATCACAATAGTATCATAGACTGGCTCCAATATGGATGGTGGATGATTGATTTGGTTGATCCATTTATAGTTTTTGGATTAATTATTGGGACAGCATGTGAAGAACAATCTTTTCAATGTCTATCAATTTTTTCATTTCTTATCCTAAATTTAGCACGGTCATAAAATATACACACTTATTGAGAAAATATTCCTAAAAGAGTATCCAAATGTAAAGTGTTAGATATAAAACCATTGCGTTTAGACAATTTCATGCACTCGCACGTAATTGTTATAGTTTTCCAACCCCCATGAAAGATTATACGAAATGAGGATGTCAATACGGACCCGATTGCGTAATTTATGGGTTAGCGTTATAAAATGTTGGTCCATATGTTAGATGGCCAAGAGAACAATACCAACTCCACGCATTTTAACTCCAAAAAGTACAATATTAACCATGATTTAAGAAGAACCATACTTAGGTTTACCCCTGGGGTGAACCTTTAAATTCACCCAACAGATTATAGTCAATCGTTTTGCCATGTCATTATTAATACTAGAGAATTAAAAAAAAAAAGAAACACAATTAAAAAAAAAAATCACAAAATAGATTTAGGGTTTAAGGTTTAGGGTTTAGGGTTTAGGGTTTAGGGTTTAGATTTTACAATTAAAACGAAATTAGATGTCGGTTTGGGTTGCCAAATGAGTGGTTAGGGTTTAGATTTTATAATTAAAACTAAATTAGATATCGGTTAGGGTTTAGGGTTTAGGGTTTAGGGTTTAGATTTTACAATTAAAACGAAATTAGATGTCGGTTTGGGTTGCCAAATGAGTGGTTAGGGTTTAGATTTTATAATTAAAACGAAATTAGATATCGGTTTGGGTTGACAAATGAGTGGTTAGGGTTTAGATTTAGGGTTTAGGGTTTATGGTTTAGGATTTGGGTTTAGGGTTTAGGGTTTATATAACAAATATTTCACAAACCTAAACAGATATATAATTTCGTTTTAATTGTAAAATTTAAACCCTAACCACTCATTTGTCAACCCAAACCGATATCTAATTTCGTTTTAATTATAAAAACTAAACCTTAACCACTCATTTGGCAACCCAAACCGACATCTAATTTCGTTTTAATTGTAAAATCTAAACCCTAAACCCTAAACCCTAAATCTATTTTCTGATTTCCTTTTTTTTTTAATTATGTTTTTTTTAATTCTCTAGTATTAGTAATGACATGGCAAAACGATTGGCTATAATCTGTTGGGTGAATTTAAAGGTTCACCCCAAAGGTAAACCTAAGTATGGTTCTTAACAAAGGGTGAATTAGGTGAATAACCTATTTTGATAAATTATTTAAGTATATAGCACTATATTGTTAGAAATTAAGCAAGTAACACAATGGAGGGTTAAAAGTCTATTTTGGCCTTTATTTGTGTGTCTCAGAAGAGAGAAAGAGGAGTTACATGGCAAATGTGAGAAATTCTGTCTGTAATTTCTTGATTTATTTTATTTTACCACTTTGATCTTTTATTTCATATTTTTTGCTCTAAAAATTTAATTCAAATTTATAACTCTTTTAAACAAAAAATAGTCTTCTTTTTTTCATATATCATGATTCAAATTTTTTAAAATAGACATTTAACTCATGAAAATTAAAAAATTGTGTAAAGAAAATATTTTTCTTTACATAAAACATATATCAAATAGTATAGAACAAACTAAAATAGTATAGACCGTGGTGACGATGATGATATCGGCAATAAATAGTAACGGCGTGGTGGTTTTAGTGGTGACGACATGATGATAGTGGTGGCTACGATGGTAGCTTTAATGATGTTCTGATGTTGGTGATGGCACCGTGGCGTTGTGGTTGCGGCGGCGCGGTAGTGAATACGTGGTGGTAATATGGTGATCGTGAATGTATGGTAGTAGTGATGGTGGTTGCTGTGATGACGATTATAGCGATAATGGTAGTGGTACGGTGGTGGTGGTGATGACATGGGAATGATGGTAATGGTTGCAATGGTGATGGTGAGGGCATGATGATGGTGGTTGCGTTGATCGTAGCAGTTACGGCGGTGGTGGTGTTGATGATGTGATGGTGGTGTTGGTGATGATAATGATGGTACTAATGATAGATAATGGTTATACTTGAGAAAAAAAAAAAATTGATGATCGAGAGAAAAAAAAGAGAAAAAGACAAAAATACAAGAAAGGATATGACATGTGAACAAAGGGTAAACTAGTATATAATACATATTATATATAGAATATTGTAGTCAACTTTTTTTTAGGTTAGTTACTGGATTATTAATTTTTTTATGGTCATACAGTCTAATTTCTCTTTAAGAAATGAAAAAAGGAACAACAAATTTTTTTATAACTAAAATTAAGAAAGCATTAATTTACATATAAAGTTGGAAAAATGTCGATCGATTTGGTTATTATAAATCATCAAATAAAAACTAACATACGAGCAAAATGTCGATGTAATGTATGATTTATTTTGACCAAAAATAAGATTTATTTCAGCGATGAGTTCCACAATCCACATAGCGTAACTCTTTGGAACTCCAATTTTTTCCCATCTCTCTTACCTTTCTTCTGCTATCATATATAGTTCCATATCATTCAAGATTTTAGATAATCTTCACTTAATAGACCGTTTGAATTTGAAAAGGAATAGACTAGTTAATTACTAGAGTCACAATATAACAAAATTTAAATTACATTTCAAGATAAACAAAAAGAACGTTTTTCTTGTGATTTTGTTATTCATAATTGGACATGACTCATAGGCCACCTTTATAAAAACCAGCTGATTTTTTTTCCTTAGGAAAAAGTAAAATACAGAAAAAAAATTACATTAAGACCACAAAACTCAAGAATACAAAAGTAAAAAATAAGAAAAGGAAGAAAACAAAAATAGGAGGGGTCAAGGAGACCTATTGAAAATCTTTTGACCCGGTGAAAGTATAGCCATGGGATCAAACATAGCTTTCCTATCAACAAATCTGGACCATTGGTTTCCAAAATGGCGAATCCATTCCTCTTGAGACTTGTAGTGAGGAAGATACAATTTGAAATCTATTCCGTTTTTGACACACCAATGAACGATCTCTTGGTTTTGAGCTACCATTTTATCAACCGATGAGCCTTTCGCACACGGCGGCACGAACCGAAGCAATGCCACAATGTAGAATATCTCTCCTTCCGGTATAACCACGGACGTCCGATCATCCCACCTGATAACCAAATTTTTATTTAATCATTCACATTAAACAAAAGACATTTCGAAGGGCTTATCGGTCAATGAAGGAAACTAAATCTTAGAGAATTAAAAAATACACATTTTGGCCTTTTGCTCACGATTGGTTTCATTTCTCACGTCTACTATTTCGTACCAGCAAATCTCATTTTCCACATAAAGTAAAATATATAAAGACGAAAGTACCCTTCAGTAAACTACAAAAGGCTATTTTAGAAAAGTAAAAGAAAAATTAACGTTAGTTCATTATTGGGTCCAAGAAGCATATCTTTGTCCCTACAAATTTCATCTCTTTCCCTATATGACGCTAACCTTAACGACGGTTACAATACAACTCCGTCACCCACCCAACCGTAATACCTAATACGGTATCGTATTAGTTTACTCTTTTCTTTTTTTGATCTCGCCTACAAAATCTAAACGACCTCACTAAATTCCAATTGTTATTGTACTTAAAAACCCGTACGGGTAAAAAAATGACGAGGGTCTGATTAAAAGACACGTGTGCCACAATTGCGACAATTTGTTGATCACACGTCTCGCGACTTGGTGGGTGGAGCCTTTTTTAGTTTAAGCATGCACGACTAATAATCATCACACGTGATAAACACATGCCATAAAACTAACTAGACCGATCTTCTTTTAGTCTTTTAGATAGGAGCCTTGTCTAAGAGCATGATTATTGGTAGTATCTTAGAAATAAATCTTAGGAATATTTAAGTAATATATTTATAAAAGTGATAGGTAAGAGATAGTATTTTTGGGTTAAGATTTTTGTGTGATTAATGGTAGGTTCTTAACATGTGGTTCTTAAAAAAAAAATATTAATATAAAAATAAAATTTATACGTATCAACATATCACTTTTATCAAACAGAGAAGACGTAGAAAAAAAATATTAATATAAAAATAAAATTTATACGTATCAAAACATATCACCAATTGACCAATAAAATTTATACGTATTAAAACATATCACCAATTGACAAAACATATCTAAAAATAAAATTTATACGTATCAAAACATATCACCAATATAAAAATAAAATTTATACGTATAAAATTTATACGTATCAAAACATATCACCAATACGTATCAAAACATATCACTTTTAACCAATCACAATGTGACACCTCGCAACATCTTAAGTTAAGAAAAACATCTTAACTTAGATACAAATCTTAGTTTTAAGATGTTGGTTTGATTTTATTTAATCAACTTTAATACTAAGATATCTCTAAGATGTTGCCGTTAATCATGCTCTAACCCAAAATAAAAACGATGGGTCCTAGTAGAAAAAGGAGAGAGAGCAATATTCACCTGCTTCGCAAGAGTGGGTACACCAGCATTGGACCATTGACTCCGTTCTTGACAAGTTCTTTGAACACCGTCCGATTGAAATCTCCGATGTCTCGCTTCGACACGAAGAGGTTAAGCCACGGATGCGGCGTTTCCCACGTACCAATCTCCTTCGCAATTTCTTCAGACCGTTTGACTCGAAGTAAAAAGTCAACGTAAGACAGATCTACCTCGAATCTTAATCCCTCAGTAAATCTTAGCCGTCCGATCAATCTCTCCACCCTCTACAAAAAAAAATTAATAAAAAAATCAGTCAGGGGTATTTCGGTACATTCATAGATGATTCCATATAAAAGGATGGCCAGATTTTAGCCGGGACCGTTTGAAATCAAATCATCAATGTTTATACTTCAGAAACGTTTACATGCTACAATTATAATTTCACCCTTACGTCCCATACCGCATGACCAATGGATACGTCACACGTGTTTGGTTAAACTAAATAATTGAGTAGAGAAAAGCAAAGTGATCTAAAAATATGTGTTTCATGAGAAAGACAACAAAAGCTAACAAAAAGAAAAAGAAAAAAGTGTCGTTTTCGTAATAACGTGGTTACGACAAGGGCATTAGAGAGAAGCAAATAAATATATTTTTATGTCAGACAATCCAAATTCGAAGATACATTACACAATGTCTCGTCAGTTTCATATTATGCAGTCAGACAAAGAGACTGTATAATTCCCTTTCCCACCCTATTTTATTTCCTTAATTAAACTATATAAGTATTATATATTCATCTTTACACTGTTTTTTGAATTTTATGTTTTGTGTAATCATGGAGGTCGAGAAATCTCAAACCGGTCCTATATGAACTACGTGTCGTATAACTGTTAGCGAAATAAAACGGGTCAACTTCACACTTCAATCTAAGGTCAATTTCGGTCAAACAAAGTTTCTAGAACATCAGAAGCTTCCACCACCGTCGGATCTTAAAAAGATGAACGGTTCTTGAATTATCGAAAATTGTTATAAAGTTTGTGTTTATTATTATATTTACCTTGTCGACGGTTGAGTTAGAATCGGAGTCTCTGTAGTGAAGACCGAGTTCGAGGCAATAAAGAACCGACCCGGAAGATTGTGGTAGTCGGGTCGGGTCAAACTCGTGGTCCGGGTGGAGCGGAACTGTTGGCCATCCGTTAACCGGGTCATCACCGTTGACAAACACGAATCCTTCCACGTAATCGAATGATGACTCGTTCTTCTGACTCACCAGCCACTCGGCGTCCTGAGTGAACTCATCGAACTCGGTGTATACTACTCTTATCCATCTCACCTAATACAAAACAATCATTTATATTATGGACCAAATATCTGATTTTTGATTGGATAATTAAAAATATATAATTAAGATTAATATGTAAGTTTAAGTAATCACCATATCTGGAGCTGGCTGTAGCAAAACCCTAGCTCTGGTGATGATACCAAACTGACCAAGACCACCTAAAACGGAGAAGAAGAGCTCTGAATTCTCAATCTCCGAGCAAGTAACGACGTCACCATTTCCCGTTACGACGTCTAACTCCGTTACATTTGACGTCTGTGGTCCGTAACGGAACGCTTGTCCACTAACGCCGGCATTTGACAACGTACCTCCCACCGTTAACCCAAGATAATCCGTCCACGACCTCGGCGCCAAACCGTACTCCGAAACGCACCGTTTCAACACATTTTCCCATAATGCCCCTCCGGAGACATCAACAAACGCCGTGGCATCACCGCCGGATAAAAAACCCACCTCGAAATGATTCTCCGCCGTGGTACTCATATCGACGACGAGTCCTCCTTCCGCCATGGCTTGACCGTTGATAGAATGGCCGTTTCCACGCGCCGCCACCGTGAGTTTATCAGACCTCAGAGCCGCTTTCACCGCTCCGGCGATATCCTCCGGCCCCACCGGTCTCACCACGGCAAGAGGCTTCACACAGTTCATGCCGCCAAAATCCCTCCCGGCCATATCCGTCGCATCTCCACCGCATACGATTTCTCCTTGGATGTTAAGTGACTCAGAAACGCCATCGGTAGATTTTCCGGCGGTGGTGACGGCGGAGGCGGCTTCGGCGTCGTTATCCAAGAAGTATGGTTCTATGTAAGCTATCATTTTGGTGTGTGTGTGTGATTGTGTGTAAATGCTAAATTGAGAGACTCTAATGTAGATGGAAGCTTTTAGCTTTTGGAACCAAACCTTTTTTTGTTTGTCTGTGGTGAGAGAAGCTGTGTGGCTTAGCTATAAATAGCGACTGAGGTTATAGATTTTGGATTATTTTTATTTTAATTGTTTAATTGTGATGAATTTTTTAATTTCATTCGGCCGTTGAATATGCATTACTTTTAATAACGTCTTTTAAAAATTAGTATGTTATTATAAACGAAGATATTGGATTTTAAAATGTCTCCTAAAATTGTCAACACTGAGTTATGTGGAGATAACTAAAGGAGGAAAAAACAAAGAAAAAAGAAAAAGATTCAACCATTCTTAAAAGAATGGTTAAAGGATCCTCAAAATCTGTCCCGTACCGAAAAAGAAAAGGAAAAAAAAGGAAAGCAGAAAAAAAAATCTAAGAAATTAATTGTGTAAGGAAGTTGGTCTGTAATTCTGTATGCTTACGGTATTATAGAGAGATGACGTCGTTGTTGTTTTTTCAAGAAAAAAACAAGTAAATGAGTGTGCTGAGTTGAAAATTGTTGGCCTAAAATAAGATCACTAGTTAAAATAATGGGTCATATTAGTTCTCTCGTTTAAATACACGATTAAAAGTTGTTTTAGTGGTTAAGAAGAACATGATAAATGCAAAATATATGCATTACATGTTTACATGATACAGTTTAACTATTAATTTTAACTAGTAATTTTAGTATTACCGTAATATATGCAAAATTTGAGTGTTTTTAATCATGATGAATTCGTAATAGGAATGTATACACTACATGATACAGTTTGATTTCGTTGAGACAAAAGATATGTTTTGTATCAAGTTAAAATAGGTTTGGGAAATGGGATTTCTAGTTGCTTTTTTTTTTTTCTTACAAAACTTAAACAAAAAATATAGACTTTACACTTTTATCATAAACTATTTGATGAAAAACTTTTGGACAACAAAAAGTGAACAAAATTATTCAGGTTGATAGATGATTATGTCATTCCCATCCCGAAATTTTAGCTATGGTTGATTATGTTAGGGATACGTAATCATTAGTTATTGATGAGAATCACTCTGGTTTGGGAAAGTAAATTTAAAAAAAAAAAATTCAAAAAAATTTTTTAAAAAAAAATTACAAAAATTTCGAGTTTACAAAAATTAGTGAACCCACTAATTGTTCCGTATGTAATACAAAAAATTATATACAAAGAGGCTAATGTATAAAACATGAGAAAAATACATTTTAGAATATTATTTGAGAAACAACTCTTTAATTATATGAAGAAACCCTTCGTTCTGCCTACCAAAAAAAAGAAAAAAAGAAACCCTTCGTTCTTTTCCCCTTTTAGTTATCTATAGCTAGACTAACAATATTTCATATAATTACGATTCAACGGTTTTATAAAATCACATTTAGGTGTTGGTTAAAAAGATCACTAAACATCATTCTACTAAAAGCTAATGTGAATTCATGCAACAGAAGAATTCCAATTGGGCCTTTAAAAACATTTATAAGAATTATTATATTCGGATAAAGCAAATTTCCAATATTGGGTCAAATTGCACAATTAATTTACTATTCAAGAGAAGACAAACATCCAAATACAATCGTGTTCACAACTTCTTGACTTCTAGAAGAAGTACATTACTTAATTAATTTATAATTAGTAGTTATTAGAATATTAATAAATTCAAGAAAACCGCATATAATTAGAAAATTGTTAGTCGATATAACTAACCAAATCCTTAAGTTGTTTAACAGTCTATACGTACTATCAAAACGATTATAGATTTATAGTGGTTGACATAATTAAATCCGGGATATAATAAGCAAAACTGAGCGTCCTATGTTATTTTACTATACAGAAAAAAAAACATATTAGATTTAGACGAATATGTCAAATAGTTACACGTTGAGCGACTATAGATTGTGTGGTAATAAACCATAAATTTAAAATTATTGATCAACTTTTATACTACTTTCTCATGCATAAAGTAAACGTCAATGATGTCAAAAAAAAAATAGAAAGTAAACGTTAATGAATTGACGACATTCGTCTCCCTATTCAATTATTGTGGGTTTATTATTGTTTTACAATAATCGTGGGGCAGGCAAATTTACTTCACATATGCATCTCGCTGACCAGGGGTATTAAACGGGAAAATAAAAAGTTTGTGACCGACTCAACATTAAAATATAAAGATTTAGGAGGGCCTTTCCCAAATTCCGCCCGAATTAAATTAAGTAATTCCGGAATGTTGTCCTATAAAGTAATTTAACAACATATATTTTAACTTCCACCTAATAATAAACTTACTGACTTCAATAATTTTTCTTTTGAATCGAGAAAGAGTAAGCAAAAGGCTTTTATTTTTTTTATTTGAAGTTTGCAGTCAATTTTTTCACAAGAGTATATGTGAAAACATAAAACGACACTCTTTGTGAAACAAGGTTAAAACTTTAAAACGACACTCTTTGTGAAACGGAGGGAATAGCTGACAAGTAAAACTTGAAAACAATATTTAGTCTGTAAATAATTACATCTCATGTCATTGACATTTATTATTAATACATATCTTCTGTGTATCTTCTACATAATTTATATTTATCATTTTAAATATTACGAATATTAATTGCAGAACTGATTTTTAAGCATATTACCGTAAGCGTATTTACTATCATCAAAGTATCGTAAATATGAAATGATGAAATTTTAAAACTAATTTAGCAGTAGTCATATCAGACTCATCACATATGTTTTTAACTTATTTATTACATAGTTAAATTTATTTTCATATGATTAGGACATAAATAATCTGCAATACCAAATTTTAGCATTAGTCAATTGTTTCAAAAAAAAAAAAAAAATTAATGTTTGCGATTCCACTAAAGCCGTTGGCTTTAATTCCTTTTCAAAAACTAAAAAGCTTGATCACTACTTTATTATGAAGTCAAACAGGTCGTGTAAGCTAATTAATATCTACGTTACTAAAATACACTGTACTACGGTTTTTTTATTTGTATATTATTGACTTAATTATTTATTTAGTACTAAGTCAAGAAGCTTAAAAAATTTATTTACGTCAACTCAAACTTAACATTTTTTATGTTGTTGATTAATATATAGATTGAATTTTGATTCTGAACCCCCGACGACGTTTGTTTGAGAACCAGACCTTATCTCTCATTCCGGTTTAAGATTTTATAAACATTTGCATCTCTCATAGCCAACGATTTTTAATTTTTTTTTCTTCTTACAAACAAACATTAAGTGCTTGGCACGCCCATCTGCAAATGTTTGCCCATTTTTATGTGATCAACACCAATGGTTTTTCAACACAAATTGAATTGATGTTACAAACAAATAGACAAGACTATTGAAAATGCAACACTTCTGAGTTTTGATGCTTAAAATAGTAAACTATAAATGATGTGTCCGCGCATAATGAACTCATTATTCTTAATCCCCTTTACCACAAATTTAAGGGGAAACATAAATTACCCAACATACATGAGAATATGAGATACATTACATTGTTGTAGCTTGAAGATCATCAGATATATTACACGTAGATATCTAATCGGGTAAATATACATCGGATTTGAAGTGAGGAAGAAGATACGAAAGAAGAGTATAAAGAAATGAAATTTGGCTAACGATTGAATGCAACAGAAAGAGCAACACCAAGGACAAGCCATGCCCCAATGAAGTATCCCAAAAGCCTCGTTGGTCCGACATCTTCCGGTTCCTGTCCATTTTTCCCAAACATTTAATTTTATAAGAACCCGAAATAAAAACTAACTAAGCCGAACCAAAATTAATGCGCTTAAAAGTATTCTCAACAATCAACATTATTCAGACCGTAACAAAACAGACCTGAGGAGGCGGCTCTTCCCTGGATGGTTCCATGATGTCAACCTCAAATGGCCACACGTACCGCTCTGCTTTTTCGCTTCTGGCTAGACTCCAATCGTACATTCTTCTCTCTTCCACGGTCGACAATATCGTATATGACTCCTAAAATATATCCTCAATTAAATACCTTTATAATGACTCCATGAATCTCGCTAGATGATATGGTAAAAATTCATCAAAACGGTATTATTTTTAAAGTGATACTGACTTTGAGAAGATCCATCTTGTTCTTGAGTTGTTCTTCGTCTAGGCCTTGTTCCTTTAGCTCCTTAACTCTATCTTGGTAACCAATTCTAACCTGATAACAATAAGAGTTTTCATTTTGAAATATTGCTACTTATAAGATTCAAACTAAAATCATTCTTTGTTTTCTCTAATTTTGGACTTAAATCAGGACTGCTCTGTATGGTATGAACAATAACGAATGCTGAAGAAACTTTCCAAATATAATCAAAAGAGATTGAAACTGACCTGATCATAAGAACAATTTCTGGAAATCCCAAGCCGTCCATAGTGATCAACATCTGTAATTGCTGCATTCTAATCCAAACCACCATCAATTTTTCTTATTCATTTTCTTCTTCTTCAAGATTCAAACCAATAACAAGAAAATGCAAAACGAGAGACAGAGAGAGAGAGTGAGAGAGGGGATTACGAAGGCCACGAAGAGCGCGTTCGACGTTGAGAGCGGATATTAAAGACGGAGATTCTTTCGGTGCTTCATCCACGGCGGTGCTAGATCCGCCTTCGGTTTCTGCTTCTGCCGATACCTCACTGGAATTCCTAGCAGGGGAACAGATAATCCGCTTCGTGTTGATTGTTGGCTTCCACGGGAAAGAGCACGTGCTTGGTACGTGATGGAGGACGGATTCGCCGGGAATGTGGACTAAAGACGGTTGAGTTATCGTCGATAAGGAAGCCATAGCTCCAAGGTTCACACAATATTTCGAATTCTAGTTGATAACGGATACCAAATTGTATCAACCATAGAAATCTCTCAAGTGGATAAATAAATAACACAGGTCCCGACAATAATTAAAAGTTAGATATTTTAAAGTACGATACCCTAACAACAAGGTCGTTGTAGTATAGTGGTAAGTATTCCCGCCTGTCACGCAGGTGACCCGGGTTCGATCCCCGGCAACGGCGATTTTTTATTTTTTGGTGATATCAAATTATTTTCGAAACGATGTCGTTTTTAACTCACGACTTTCTTACGAACGTTGTCGAATGTAATAGTAAATAAACCAAGATATAGAAGCAGCCATTTGGACAAAATGTTTGACACAACTCAATCGAAGTTTGCAATAATATGAACATAATGTTACTGCACATGCTTCGATATGTACAGAGTCAATCTCATGGGTTTTTGTCTTTAATATTTAAAAGAATTGAGTCTTGAAAAAAAAAAGTATCAGAAAACAAAAGCTAAATAAGGATAGTCATAAGCAGGACTTGAATCAGTCTTCTTATTTGCTTAGACTGGAGCTCTCGCCAGATTTCCAAACCACATCGTTAAGTGAGGTCGAGAGCTTCTTGTAGAACTGCAAAGAAAGTAGAATAGAGATATAAGTAAGAGTCCTCGAAAGAACATTAACGCATTCGTCAAAAAAGAGGATGTCCTTCCTTACTTACCTTATGGAATTCTAATGTATCCCCTTTAGTTTTCCGGACTTCGATCATATGAAGAGACGGTGATACTTGAAATATCTACAAAATATTATATAGACAAGGTCACTTCTTTAATTCCACGCCAACTGGAATTCATATACTAATTTCATAACAGAAAGGAGTCATGAGTGCAGATCATAATGTACCTCAGTTGCAACTTTTAGGTTTCCCTTCCTTCCAGCAGTCACGTTTTCAAGTCTCATCTGTGTACAATAGTAGCGCTTCAGTGATAATTAAAATAACTCGATATCCATAAAAGGAAACTTCCACACCGCAGCGAAGTGAGCAATAAGGGACCTTCATTTTCTACTCTAATAGGTAGTCCTTCTATAAGTGAACTAATTATTGGTGAGGTTAGAGTTCAACCGTTTATACCGAGGGAGTGAGTCTTATTTTGCTTGTGTTTGTGATTCTTAACTCTAACAGAGTAACAGGAAGCCATCTAAGTAAAAGGAAAAGACGATGCCCATAGCTGTTAGGGTTTCACACGATCGAATTACCTTATAGTTTTTCTTTTGAATATCAAAACCAAGCGGCTTAGAAGCTTCTTCAATCTTCTGGACTAAATCATTAGCTGCGCCTTTAGCTGCAAATCTCGTTTCTCGCTTGAATCCCTGTAAGTTAAACGGTATAGACTTCATTAGTGAAAATATAATAATGTGACAAGACTGAACCCTAGCACGGTCCAAATATCCGCTATTATCATGAGAAAAGTTGTATCGATAATGTCAAGTCATACTAAATGAGTGTTTGCTCAAGGATTTAAGCAAATAAGCATGTTGAGTTTAGAGACACACCTCTTCCTCTTCAAACAAATTCCCGAGATCCAGAGCTCTCGACATTGATATCAACTCAAAGGCATTCATCGAAGTTGGTTGCTCCTCTTTCTTTTCTGTGACATGATGCTCCTGTTAATAAATCACAGGCTGTTATTTACATTTATTCAGGTAACTTGAAAAAAGGAAAAAACAGTAAATTCATCTTATAGATCGCAGACTAAATAAGTAAGACTCACTTCTGAATCTTTAAAAACAGCGTCCACATCATCCAAGTTGGCTTCTTCCTTCTCCTCGAAAACAGCTGGCTTGTAATTTTTCTTGAACCACGCATCTTCCAGAACCTCAGGAATTGTGATACGCTGTCATGTTAACGCACAGTCAATTAGTTCCGCCGATGAAATTAAGGACGAATGGCGTTAGTTTGTTTCAGATGCTTTAAATTATCAAGTTTTACATGCAAAACACACAAATAAAAGTAATAAAGAGTCTAAGAGGAAATATAGAAATACTTTGATATAAAAAGTATATAAAAGAGATTACAAACGTAAACTCCCCCACAAGGAAAACTTTATATAAAGAATTCCCAAACTCTTGTAGTCAGAAGAAATCCGATTATTACCCTATTGCTATTCAAGAGCTTATTAAATAGGAAAACCCCCAAAACCCAGAAAAGAAAACACTTAAATAATCCCTTAGTTATATATCACATGATTAAGATACTAATCAAACAATCTCAATCAATCTTCACCAAATCATAACTGACTATCTATCATAATCTGCTATGTATATAACTAAACATATGCAGGAGAGTCGTAAACTTTTGAGCAACTTAGGAAGATTATGATAAAATTTACCAGCAGAAGCTCATTTCAGGTAGATATCTCCAGAAGAAAAAAGTCAACTAGAACGGAAATTATTTATTTATATGACACAGAAACGTACAGTTTAACCCAACATTATGGATAAATTTTCCAAGTCAATAACAATGCTTTCACGATGTCACTCCATTTACAAAATAGTAAATGATGCCTAAATATGAAGAACTATATATTTTTGATATTAAACCTAATGCTAAAAATAGCACAAGACAAACAATAAAATGCAACTATGTTCTCAAGTTTCCAGTAGTGTTCAAGCAAATGTTCCCCCTGATCCCTGGTAAGCCCTAACCCACCCAAGTGTCTAAGAATAACAACAAGACAAGATTGTTGCCTTGTGGGGTTCGACAGAAGAAAACAAAAGAGGGATCGATTTAAATCTTGAAAGCATTAATAAACTGATATATCTTACAGTCATAGGGTTTGGATCCAAGATTCGCACAATCAAGTTCTTAGCACCAGGAGAGAGCCAAGGAGGACAATAAAATTCACCAGCTATTATCTGAAAAAATGACGAAAGTGTAACATAGAAACAGTAATCACAGATAATGGTGAAGGAAGAAGCATTGAAAAAATGACAAAACTTCTTACCTTTTTATACAGCGTCATGAGATTAGAATCCTCGAAAGGCAAGTAGCCAGCAAGTAGTACAAACAGTATCACTCCACAGGACCACAAGTCTGCGGTTGCCCCGTCATAACCTTGATCATTAAGAACCTTGTGACAAGAGCAGCAAGGAAGCTATTAGTAATATGGTGCAACAACGGCATGACAAGACACATGACTAAGCATACCTCAGGAGCAGCATAGTTTGGAGTTCCGCATGCAGTGTGAAGAAGACCATCACCCTGCCAAGACCAAATAAGTTTCATAAGCGGAGAAACTAGAAAGATCAGTGTTCAGAGCTTATTATATATATATGTAAAAACAGCCAAGGATACACATCGTTGTTGAACTACAGGCACATTCATTAGAATGGGACACGGACAAATCAGTATAAATTCAGGTAACAAAAGGATGCTAAGAAAGAAAATTAAAATTCAGTGGTTACCCTGACTTGTCGGGACAACGCACTCAATCCAAAATCAGAGACTTTCAGATTTCCTTGAGCATCTAGAAGCAAGTTTTCCGGCTGCAGTGAGATTGTAAGCACCAATTAGCTGCACTTTAAAAACACATACTGCAAACTTGGGCCCAAGATTTACCAGAAATTCTCATACCTTTAAGTCCCGGTGGTACACTCCCCTGCTATGGCAGTAATCAACTGCATTGATAAGCTGCTGAAAATATTTCCGTGCGTTCTCTTCTTTCAAGCGCCCATCGTGTACCTTCACAACGCACAATGCAAGGGTTATGTTTACGTCAGAGATAAGAAGAAGTATCAGCTGTAAAATACAGGAACACCAATAGATAGATAGATCAAGTACAAATTATAAATCCGTTGGGAGAGATTAAGGAAAACTAACAATTTTGTCAAAAAGCTCTCCACCAGTACCGAACTCTAGGACAATATATATCTTAGTCTTGCTCGCCAAAACCTGGAACAGTATCGATTATTTTCATAGAAGTTAGCTTTCAGCATATTGGCTTCACATACAAAGAGCTCAAAAGAAAGCTAAAGAAAAATAGAGACACAGAGAGAAAAGTGGGGACATGGAGATAGACCTCATACAGCCGCACTACATTTGGATGGTTTATTAGCTTCATAGTACAAATTTCTCTCCTTATCTGTAAAAAGAAAACGGGGAAGACACACATCATACTTACGAATTAAAGATGCATATAGTTACGAAAACCGGCAAATCTGCTTATTAGGAAAGCGAGTTTACCTGTTCAGCCATCTTATGCTTGAGAACCTTCTCCTTATCAAGGATTTTGAGAGCCACACGTTCTCCAGTCTCAGTATTAACAGCACACCGAACTTTGGCAAAAGTGCCTTGTCCAAGCGTTTTTCCAACCTCATACTTTCCAACACGACGCTGAACCTTTGGCCGATTCATCACTCCTTGATCTTCAAAAGCTGTCTTCTGGAAAATGTAATCTATATATAAGAATTATTCCATGTAAAGAATCCAACATAACATCAGGCAAGGAGATAGTGTTTCTTTTCTCAATTCACAGAAACTAAATGCAAAAAAAAAAAAAAAAAGTAAAAGAAACCGTCAAGTAAAGAAGAGTAATATGCCACAGAGTTCGATAAAGACAAAGCGCAAAAACAGCTGCAAGAAATCCACAAGGTGATGCCAAATCTAGCAGCGGAGCTTTTCTCCGGAAATTCCGATAAACCTTTTTAGGTACTCCAAAAAACATCTACAAATTCAAATCCTCCACTAAACCAATAATCATGTGTACACAATTGAAGCGAGATTCTCGAGTTAGCTAACAAACTCATCATCATCATCATCATCATCATATATATACAGATTATACACACTCTACACAGAGATCAGAAGCGTAAGAAAGTAATTTAAACTCTCTAAGTTACCGAATTGCTCATGAGAATCCAACAACAAACCTGCAAAATTGGCCGGAGAAAAGTGAGCAAGTAGAGGTGACAGAACCGATGTTGCCTTTGGGGAACTAAGAGTTAGAAGAAGAAGAAATTCAAAAGAAAATCTATGGCGCAGAATTCGCTTATCACAGGAGAGAAAAAAAAAAAAAATGGGCTAAGTTAATAATAATAAGAAGGTGAGGAAGAGAAAGAAGAGATGGAGATGCGACGAGAGATACGATGATGATTGTAGAAATTTTGTAGCTACCAGACAAAAACTATTTTAATTTCGTGTAGGGACTCTCATATAATGGACATTTGTTTTTTTTTTTTTTTTCGTATGGGACAATAATACTTATTTTCTTTCCTTTGTAAGGTCTTCAATTTTCTTAAGAAATAAAATTATGTTTTTTTGCTTTTTTTGGTCAATTATTTTGGGTTAATTAGTGTAATGACAAAAGATTTTAGTATTCAGATTTTGACTAGATATGGACCTAATTAATAGGTTCATTTTATTTGTTTCTACATTCATACACGGGAAAGTAATCGATGAAATTTTTATGTTTTTGTTAGAGAGCATTTTAAAAAATGGTTTTGATTACCACTATTATATAGAATATAAGTTTTTAACTTTTTTGTAAGAAAGAAAAACCGTTGCTTCACTCTCACATACTAGTTACTACAAGTCTACAAAGCTCAACAAAAGTCATACATTGCAACCGTTTTGTGGTAATGGTTATAGACTGACTATTATTAGAACACTGAACAAATCATCATGGCAAAAGCTCATTAGACTCATCTCTAGCGATTGGATAAATTCTAGAAGTGTAGAATGAGACTTCATATATTATAATGATCGAACATTCTTTTTGATATAAAAAAAAAAACTAAAAAGAAATTTAAAAACAGTTTAATTGAAAAAATCTAGAGATTACTTCTTCAAAAAAAGAAAAATGTAAAATCGATCCAAACTTATTCATTTCTATAAAAATTTCTTCATGTGAAAATTTTGCTTTTACGTAATCGTTTCTAATTCCATGCAACATAAATTTGGAGGATACTCTCATCATTCTACATGCATCCATATGCTAATTTTCAACGGATTCTAAACCTTTATAACTTTCTGAATTATTCTAATATCCTTAAATATCTATCCTAGTTAAAAAAAACTTTTTATAATTCAATATTTAAATGAAAAAGTAAATATCACAAATTTAATTGATATATATATTAATAAAATATTATACTAAAACAGTTTTGAAAATAGTTATCAAGATTTAATAAATCTTAATTTGATAGATTAAATTACCTAGTATGTCTAAAGTAATTGCAAATGTTACAAAACTATTACAAAAACAAATTTGAAGAAAGCAAGTTTCTTACAAATGTCTTAAAAAAAATTTTAAAACTAAAAAAAGACAAAAATCATAAGAATTTGATCTTTAGAGGCCCAACTATATGTTGATGGGCTCTCTCTCATTTATAAGCATCAAGCTCTTGCAGATTATTTATTGGAGAGGCAAATAATATTCAGTAGCAAAATCTTCTAGAAAAGGTAACAAGGAAAATGGCGGATCAGCTGACCGATGACCAGATCTCAGAGTTCAAGGAAGCCTTTAGCCTCTTCGATAAGGATGGTGATGGTATGTTTCTTTCACAGATCTTTGCGTGTACTTGTCAATTGTTGAGTTGTGGAATTTGTTTGACTGATTTATGATAATTCGTGTTTGTTTCACTTGAATTCGTGAACGATCGATCTAGCTTTTAGCATATTCGATAACGATTCATGACTCGTCCCGTATTTCGCTAGTCAATGCTAATCTTAGATATGAACAATCGAATCGAAACCATTTTTTTTTTTTTTTGTCAAATTGTTCTCGTGATGTAGCAACGAAATGGTTTATGAAATTTATCTATATGTTGAGATTTTGAGTAGTTAATTGAAGGATAATTGTTGAAAATGGATTGATGTTGTAGATTTTTCTGTGTCTAAGTAAAGCTAAATATGTAATATCAGAGCAAAGATATATTCGGAATATATTGCTCTGATTGGTGAAAATCTTGCAAAATTCTGTTGTGTTGCTTCATTCTTAATGGAACGAAGTGGCTAGGGTTTTTATTCTGGCTTTTGATACCATGTAAAGAGATCTAGAGAAGAATATTGTGTCTTTTAATACACATGAACATATTCTCGATTTGCTAGTACAATACACATAAGGAAAGATGGAATATTTCTTTTACCCTAACACTTTAGGTAGACTTGGAATAGTGTTTATTTCTAGTGTGTATGACTGAAGTTTCTTTTGTTAACTTAGCTTTTTTCAAATAAGAAATCATTCTCTTTTGTGTGGATATAAGTCTGTCTCTAAAGCTTATACATGAATCTGGTTACAGGTTGCATCACCACCAAGGAGCTTGGAACCGTGATGAGGTCTTTGGGGCAAAACCCAACAGAAGCTGAGCTACAAGACATGATCAATGAAGTTGATGCAGATGGGAACGGGACCATAGATTTCCCGGAGTTCCTGAACCTGATGGCAAGGAAAATGAAGGACACTGATTCAGAGGAAGAGCTCAAGGAAGCCTTTAGGGTTTTTGATAAAGACCAGAATGGTTTCATATCTGCAGCAGAGCTTCGACATGTGATGACAAATCTCGGGGAAAAGCTATCCGATGAGGAAGTTGATGAGATGATCCGAGAAGCCGATGTTGATGGCGATGGTCAGATCAACTATGAAGAATTCGTTAAAGTCATGATGGCTAAGTGAGAGAATTTTATCCCCATAAAAAGAAACAAGATTGATTATTTCTACAGTGAAGTTTCATTATGACTTGATTCTGGTTGCGTTCTTTAGGACATCTTTTGCTTCTGTCCCTTTTTATTTGTTTGGTTAAGCAATTTAGTGTTATGTGAAGTATGAACTCATATCTTGCTCATCCTTATGACAATTATTTTTCTCTCTTTTATGGGCATCGGATTTTAATCTCTTAATTTAATTTCTGTTGTTTATCTTAAAGCAATGTTCTAAAATTTGGCCGCCAAGGACGTCTAGGTGCTAAAATACCAGTAAGAGAATTGATCAACGAAAACGAGATTTTGCAACATCGCCAACATTATTGTTATTTACATGAAAAATATCGTACTTATCAATAAAATATCGTACGGATATATATATGGTAAAAGTCTGTAATCAACGGTTTCCTTGTCCTGCCTTGGTCTTCTTGTATGCTAAGATGGGCCTTCATCGTTACAATTTCGTCCAGGTTTTGTTTCTTTTGTTTTAAAAAGAATTTATGATGCTACAGTTCAATTTCTTAAGAAGTTGTTCTCTCAGCGGGGTACAAAGTTTGAGCTGATTCGCGTAAAGCAATACGTTATGTCCACTGGTTCTGCTGCTTCTTCTTACTACATTACTTTGGATGCAATTGATCCAGCTGCTGGTGGTGGTGCCCTTGTCACTTTCCGGACTAAAGTATCAGAACAGAGTTTTGGCAAATTTATTCTCGATTGCCATATTGCAAAAGTTCGAGGTTGGTTTTTTTTTTTTTTTTTGGTAATAAATTCCGAATCGTTTTTTGTATAGGGGAAACAAGAGATGGCAAAGGGTTTTTGATGATAGATCATAGCTTCCCTAAGTGCCCTCCACAGAATCCTTTTGAAACATATTACCTGGTAAGCACGATGATATCCTTTTTACACACTATTACAAAGTTACATATGTTTTTGTTCTCTCATCTTCAGGTGAAGGAATCTGAGCTGGCCTGGATTCTTCTATATTTGCAACTTGCTGTTGCCACTACTCATAGGAAGAGGGAAGTTAAGGATTTTGGTCTTCCCAACTTGGAGATTCTAGACGTGGCCATTGATGATGAACAAGGTCTCTATGCCAAAAATGCAGTTTTCTACATTAGGTACAAGGACTACTTGTACAGATCTAACCTTGCTCACGATCTTGATCACATTGCAATAGTTAGAAGATGCTTTGATAAGGCTACGGGATGCTTCAGTCTCGTCGGTCAGAATCTGAGTTCACATCTTGTTATACCAAATATGCCTAAGATTGCTTATGAGGATACTACGGGATGCTCCACTTTCAACGGTCACATTCTGAGTCCAGAACCTTCTACTCTAGGTACCTCTGAGGATCATGAAGCGGCTAATCACCTGGCTATTCTCTCGATACAATTGATTTTGTCGATAATGAGGATGGGAATGGGAGCTTGAAACACATTTTTCATCATATTATTGTTTTCTCCTCTTCTTTTAGAAAAATCTTGAAACGCAATTGTTTTGTCTCTTCAAGTTTTAATTACATTTTTTTAACTAACCTAAGATGATGAATTTGGCAGACATAAAATCATAACTAAACCTTCAACACCATATTTTCCATTTAACTGAAAATATATTTTTGTACAGAAAAATGTATTGTTTGCTTCCTCTTTACCTTAAAAACGATCGACAGCAATCTTTGGTTAGCTTTTCTTACCCTTTAATTTAGCTCCATCTATAAAGCAAAACAAAGTCTACATGAACTTGCAAAATCTCCCAGCTTCCCCAATCTGGTCTCTGCACAACACCACCAAAACTCTCTGCCTCAAACCAAACTGAGACTTGATACATAGCTTTGGTTTTTCAGGCATTCCTTTTAAAAACAATGGACTTCTCGACGAGGCGATGTTATTTGGGATGTTGAGTTTGGAGGAAGTTGAGAAGGAAGATCCCAATGTATTGGCATCATTACTATTAGAGACACCAATAGATTTCCATCCATCAGCTATGAGTTGCATAGTTTTCCTTGTGGGAACAACATTCTTCTCTTCCATGTCTTTCAGAAGCTCTTCCGCTTTCCATGGCTGCTTAGCTTCCCCAAATCCCCATATAAGAGTCTCGTAAGTAGTCAAGTTAGGCGATAAACCAACGCTTCCACGCATTTTGTTATATACCTGCATCGCTTTCTTCATTTCACCCGCGCTACACCAACCGCTTATGATCTGTGTGTAGATCACTACATTTGGGCGAACACCGAATTTTCTCATCTGATTTAAGATTTGCTCCGCCTTTTCGGGCTCTCCAGCTCGAGCATACCCTTTGGCAAGGATACTAAATGCATGAATGTCGGGATCTATTCCTCCTTCCAACATATCTCTATAGATCTCTTCGCATCTTTTCATATCTCCTACAGAGCTCCATGCATTCATTAGAGTGCTAAACGTTACCACATCAGGTTGTACTCCAGATTCTTCCATCAGATCCACCACCTGTTATATTAACATGCCCATATTTAAAATTAGAAAAACGGAAGTGAATGAAAAATTATTGAAAGTTAATAAACTATAAAGCGCACCTCACCAACTCCATCCATGTCGTTTAAGTTAAGAAAGCCTTTGATTAGAGAGTTAAAAACAAACAGATTTGGATGAACTCCAAGTTCCTTCATTCTATAGAAAAACCTCAAAGCTTCTTCCATCTTTCGCTCTTCACAGTAGCCATTCACAATGGTACCACAGGTGCGAACATTCGGTTTAACTTTGTTATGTAACATCCTTGGTATGATCATATCCTCAGCTGTACATGTTGACCCGATCCGTGAATACGCTCTTGCCAATGTGTTAAAAGTGACTACATCAGGTTTTACCCCATAAGATTGCATCTTATATACAATGTTCCATGCTTCTTCAATCTTCCTCTGGTTACACCAAGCCTGGACAAGTATGTTACATGTTCTGTCATTTGGTTGGAGCATCTCATCCCGTAACATCATCTCCAGGAGTCTTGACGATTCCTCTAGCTTACCAATTTTTCCATATCCTTTAATGAGAGTATTAAATGTACTTGCTGTGGGTTTACATCCACTTTCCTTCATTTTTTCAAAGATCTTCATTGCTTGATCGAGATTTCCAGACTCGGAAGAGGCGTTAATGATGGCGTTGAAGAGAATGGTGTCGGGTTTGAGGCCGTTTTTCTCGACTTTGGAGATGAGGGAGAGGAGAGAGTGGAAGTGCTTTTGACGGGTTAATGCAGTTACAAGCGTGGTGTATGTGATGATGCTTGGCTTGTGGCCTTCCTCAATAAGTGTGTTGAAAATGGAATGAGCTTCTTGAGGTCTCCCTCTTTCTATCAAGCCGTTCATCAGTTTGGTCCTTGAACGAACATCGCCACAAGTAGTACCACCTGAACATATCACACAAGGAAATGACCTCAATTGCACTCTCCCTTCCTGTGAAGCAAAGGCATACGTTATCTCAAGCCTATCTTCATATTTTCAAACAAGAAATACCCGAAATTGGGGTTAGGATCAAAGACGTTTGATATTATTGATTTAGATGCTCTACTTTCCAGATAACAAAACTCCTCTGCAAGTGGTAAGAGCACTCTAAACCTAAACAAGTTCGGAATCTAGTTAATTATTTCCAGCTGTTAATACCCTTCAACTCAATCATCCAACAGATCTCAGAATGGATAAATGACTCACTTCAGAATCTTTAAAAACAGCTTCCACATCAGCCAAATTTGCTTCTTTCTTCTCTTCAAACACAGCTGACTTGTAATCTTTCTTGAACCAAACATCTTCCAAAATCTCTGGAATTGTTATACGCTGGCATGTTAACACAGTGAATTAGTTCCACGTTTGATCAAGGACGAGCGGCGTTCATTTATCCTCAGATGTTTTGAATGATATTCAAATTCTACATGCAAGACACAGATAAAGCATCCGCTTTGTATGACTCTAACATGCGCTTATCCTATCCATGGGACTAACAATTACAGGAGGCTATAAAACTTTTTTAACATTTTTGAAAAATGATAATCTACAACGAGTAGCTCATTTCATGAATGGAAAGGAAAGGAAACAGTCAGGAAGATTTGCAGAGTTTAAGCTGCTTCCCAATTATGATTTCTGTGCTGTCCATTACTTGGAACAATTAAATTTACACTTTAGAGTTTAGACCAACACTATGAATGCAACTATGTTTATGTTGAATGATCTCTTCAAGTTTTCCATTAGCGCTAAGTCATAAAATTTTCACCAGATTCCTAGTAAGTAGTAACCACTAACCCGCCTAATGGTCTTAGAAAAAAAAAGCAAGTTGAGCTTGCTGGGGTTCCACAGAAGAAAACATAAGAAGGATACATTAAAATCTTGAAAGCAGTAGTAAACCGAAATATCTTACAGTCATAGGGTTTGGATCCAAGATTCGGACGATCAAATTCTTAGCACCAGAAGAGAGCCAAGGAGGACAACTGAAATCAGCAGATGAGATCTGAAAACAAAAATGCAACTTATCAGGAATCACAGATAACGGTGAGGAAGAAGCCTGAAAATATAGTGAAAAATATATTACAAAACTTCTTACCTTTTTGTACAGCGTTGTGAGACTAGAATCCTCGAAAGGCAAATATCCAGCAAGTAGTACAAAGAGTATCACTCCACAAGACCACAAGTCTGCCTTTGCCCCATCATGGCTTTGATCATTAAGAACCTTGGGACAAAGGCAACAAGGAAGCTATTAAAGACATGGTTCAACAACCGCATAACAAGCCACATAACTAAGAATACCTCAGGAGCAGCATAATTTGGATTTCCACATGCAATGTGACGAAGGCCATCTCCCTGCCAAAACCAAGTAATTCTGATAAGCTAAGAATCTAGAAAGATTAGTGTTACATGTCTTATTAGATATTTGTTAATATAATCAATGAAAACATCATTACTGAAGACAAATCAGTAGGAACTCAGGAAAACAAATGAAGAAATTCAAGGGTTACCCCGACTTGTTGGGACAAGGCACTCAATCCAAAGTCAGAGACTTTCAAATTCTCTTGCGCATCAAGAAGCAAATTTTCTGGCTGCATTGAGAAAATAAAGAAAAAGTTTAGGCACCAACTAGCTGCACTTAAAAGAACCACACTGCAAACTTGGGCCTAAGAGTTACCAAAAATGTTTCTTGTACCTTTAAGTCTCTGTGGTACACTCCCCTTCTGTGGCAGCAATCAACTGCATTGATAAGCTGCTGGAAATATCCCAGTGCGTCGTCTTCTTTCATGCACCCATCATTTTTCTTCACAAGTTCAAATTTAATGCATTGGCTAAAAATCAAAATAATATATTCTCTCATCTGTATGATACAGGGACTTCTAAGCTGAGCAAGAGGCATTTGATTCATGACTTAAATACCAAAGGATACATCAGATACAAGTTAAAAGGCCTTGGGAGGGAGAGGGAAAACTCACAATTTTGTCAAAAAGCTTTCCACCACTGATGAACTCTAGGACGATATATATCTTGGCCTTGCTCGCCAAAACCTGGAATGATCCTAAAGTGTTAGTTTTCAACAGATTTGCTTAGACTCCAGAGAGCTGTTAGTTCCTGGTTAATCAAAGGAAGATAGAGTTGGGGCATGGAGATAGACCTCATAAAGCTGCACTACATTTGGATGGTTTATCAGCTTCATAGTAGAGATATCTCTCCTTATCTGTAAAAGCAAACGGGAAAGATCCACATCATACTTCCGGATTGAAGACGGATCTATCTATCTGTGAATCTCGCTTTTAGAAACGACGTTATACTTGAAGAAATGTAAAAATGGGCATATATCAGTGGACAAGAGAGGAAAGCGAATTACTTGTTCGGCCATCTTATGCTTGAGAACCTTGTCTTTATCGAGGATCATCAGAGCCACGGGGTCTCCTGTCTCAGTATCAACAGCACTCTGCAGTTTCGCAAAAGTACATTTGGCAATCATTCTTCCAAGCTCATATTTTCCAACCCAACGCCTGGCCTTTGGCTCACTCATCACTCAGAGTTCACCTCTTGATCTTCTTCACAAGGTGTTTCATGAAAATGTAGTGTCAATTTTAGAATTTGATCTCAAACAGAGTGGTTCTTTTCTCAAGTCACAGAAGCAAAATGCAAAAGGGATAAAGAAACCGTCAAATATATGAACAGTTTTGTGGCATCAAATGTGATAAAGAGAAGGCATAAAAACAGCAGAAATCCACAATGCGATGGCAAAGCTTTTCAGCAACAGCCCAAATTTCCAGAATCATGACGTAGATAGTTCATGCATACGGTTATGTGCAAATAACCAATAATCGTATGCGAAACATGGAATACAAACCTGCGGATTGGCCAGGAGAAGAAGTAGTGTTATTTCGTTAAGCCAATTTACAGAATTGGCTTAGCGAAGAATGAGAAGAAGTAGTGTGTCGGGCAAGAAAGGAACTCTCGGCGACGACAATGCAGAGCGGAGGAGCTCGAGAGCGTAGTAATTGGGAACAGAGAGTCTCATCGCTTCTTCCTCCATACTTCATCGTGTGGCTCACTTTTTCTCTTATCCAATATTCAGATTTTTAGTCACCAAAATGACGACGTGGACTCATGAGCCAGTCTATTTCTTTCTTTTTCATTTTTATTTCTTAGCTTTTTCCAATTACTCTCATACGTTTTTCCCAATGTTTTTTTTACATATATCTTCAAAATTTACCCAAATAATAATCTTCTAGCCATTATTAGAGAATGTATTTCACAGTTTTTGCAGGAAATATAAGAGTACAATCGAAAATGGTAGTTTTTTCTTTTGTTACAATGAGAGAAGCTTTGTACACAAGCACCACAAACCAGGTAAGAAAGAGGTTAATAAACTCAATGTTGGGCACTCACTATGAACAAAGTACAGGTTTCACATAATTGAGATATGGAAAAAAAAAAAAAGAGAGAGAACAATGTGGCACTGAATTTTTAGGGTTACCGTGTGAGCGGTTTGTAGAGGACAACAGTTATGTACTTAGACTCGAACCTGTGGGTTAAACCCAAAGCTACTATGGATTGAGGAGTCCATCCTTGCTCTATGAACACATGGTTAAGCACCACATGCTGAGGCTTTGTGGCTACGGCTGTTTCTTCTGTGGTGCCAAGAAGTGTTAGATGAAGCTGAGGTGGCACCGCAAGTGGCTCTTTCGCGTAATCTTCTGCGGCTGGTAGGGTTTGACCGTAGCTATGATCAGGTGACGGTGGCGCCTCAAACTCCACTATGCTTTCTGGGTTTTCTGGCACAAAGTTCTGCATAATGATTGCAGATACTAATTAAGCTGATTGATAGATTTAACATGAAAAAAAAAAAAAAGAGGAGGGATAGTAACTTACATGAACATCGAGAATGTTACAGACATTGCCAATTTCGTCTGATACAAAGGGTAAATCTGGGATGTATTTGGATTCACCGTCGACAATCACCTTGTAGTGGTATATGCCAGATGGAAGGACAAAGAGAATTGAGTGGTCTTTTCCCGATTTCTGCAGCTTCTTCCTGGTCAATGTAAATATGCATGTTTAACATATATAAGGAAAGCTCGAGAAAGTCCACGAGAAACGAAGCCACTTATACCTTGATCTCCAATTGTCCCAGGATCCTTCCACCGCCACATCATTACCTCCTTGGTTCCAAGTAATGATAGTAGGGATTCCTTGCTCTGGTGGATTATCAAAAACTCTCTGTGATTGGTTCCATTGGATGTTATTAGGAGAAGGAGGAGCGTTTGCTCTCTGCAATGGAGCCACAGGAACCTGAGATATGCACATAAAAATTGAGCCGTGAGATCTTTCAAACCGATGTACGAGAAGAATTTGCGAATGCCAAAACATTATATCTACCATCCGACACGAAATGCAGCCATTAGGTCTAAACAATGGAAGAGGTGACGCATAGGTGAGCAAATGTTGTAAGATGTAAGGTGGAATAACAATGTGGGCTGAAAAGAAAAGGAGTGGAAAATGAATATAGCAAACAGTAGAATGAGAAATTTACTAGCATGTAGGCAAGACCTGATTAGCAAAAGATATCACTATTCCCACAAAAACCTGATAAACCAGGTCAATTTTGAAGGTTTTCCTTCACTTCTGTTATGAATTATTTACATATTAAGAATAATGAGAAGAATGACAAAACATCCAAAATCTCTAATTCGTTCAAGTAAATTCAGCTCTACGTGTTTAAATACAAAAAAGGCGAAGAAATGAACAAAAGACTCTTCAAAATGAAAGCAAAAGACACTACACAAAAGACTCACGATGGGACATACAAATCAACAGAACAGTATCAGCAACTGATAATGAGCAAAGAGCAGCAGGAAAGTCAAAATGAGCATAGAAACCTAGAGCGACGAGAATAAACATCCTATTTGGCTGGCATGCACTTTTCCACACTAGGCACCGCATAACCTAGACAAGAAAAAAGAACTTCTCTAAAGCAGATTCTCTAGCATTATTAACAAGATTTCAACTCACCAAAAAGAAAAGGCATAGAAATCTCTCCACGAAAACTAGGGAAGAATAACTTGCTAACTTCTCATTTACCAGAGTTTTTGACTTGTCAAGAACCAACAGACAAAACCGAGTCAAGTCCAATTATATATACAAAAGATTCCACTCACAAAAGTACTTAGTCTCACAAGCTTGCCCTCTTCACAATGAACTGTAAAGATACATTACACAAAGACTCACTAAGGGACATCAAGAATCATGAGAGCAGTGTCAGCGACTAGAGACCGGCTGGAAAGTAAAGATACATTACACAAAGACTCACTATAAGGGACATCAAGAATCATGAGAGCAGTGTCTGCGACTAGAGACCGGCTGGAAAATAAAGAAACAATAGCTAGGAAACCAAATTAACATCGTAAAGAAAGGTAGAAACTTTTTCACATTATGCATTATATCTCAAGATACCTGAACCAAGATAAGCAAACAAAAAAAGAGATTCTCTAGTACAGAATCTCTAAACCAACCTAAAGAATCTAAACCTTTCCCGTTGACAAGCCTAAGGAAGAACAACAAGTTTGTCAAGAATCAACAGAAAGAAAACAAATCAAGAATACAAATAGAGTTCACTCATAAAAAAGGCTGGAGATTTTGGTATCAGAATCCTATCTAAATGAAGAAAGGTCTCAATTAGTGAGAAGTCAAGTGAACGAACATTCTCTTACTCAACGAAACAAATCAAAAGGAGGAAACTTTTTTTATCCTCCGACGAATATTTCAATCGATTCAATTCAAAACCAGATACCAAATTCAACGATTAAACACAGAGAGAGAGAATCGAGAGAGAAAGAAACCTGAGGAGCGAATAAGAAAGGAGATGGAGATCGAGCGGGACTTCCGGGAGGAGAACTGCTCATAGAATCTGAAGAAGGACGACGATGACGACTGCGTGCAGAAGGATCGCCGCCGTTGGATCTCGCCGAAGATGAGGTCACACCGCTGGCGGCGGCGGCGACGTCGTCTTCTTTGCCGTTCGCATTTCCCATCTGAGAAAAAGCCCAAATCACAGAAGTGAGAGAGACAAAGAGAGGAGAGAGATAGAGGAAGAGAGAGAGAGAACCAGACGTGAAGAAAAATGGAGGGAGGGAGGACGAAGAGGAGGAGATAAAGAAATGACCCTAAGGTTAGAGGTTAATTACGAAGAATGCCATTGGTAGCGAAAAGAGATTTGCATAAAAGGGCTCTTGATATCATTAAAATCCGTACCAAATGGATAAACGAGTGACTTGGCGTCCAAAAGTAGCGATAATTATCCACTTTTTTCTTCTTTTCTTTTTTAATTTTCTGATTCTATTATTATCTCAATCATCAGAAATTCATAGGATCCATTCTAAAATTTGAAATGGTGAATTGGTGATTACTTGATAGATTAGCAGAACAAAATATGGTTATTAGAGATTAAAAAAAAAATGTGGGGTAAGTTGATAGAGCCCGTGATGTATAACTTGTTGAAATGAAACAATTGCCAGTATTGTATTTTTATAAGATTTTAATTTTCTCTAGGTAGAGTTAATATACAAAATTGAGGTATGTTTTGTTCTCTAATTTATTGAACAACAACACTTGCTATGTTGAAACATCATTGATAATGTACATGTCTTTATTAATAATTTTACTTAGTGTGAATTATACTCAGTTTGGTGGACAGTTAAGAGTTCAAACTATTTTTGGCTAACTATTAGAGTATAATTAACATTGAGTATGTTTGAATTTGGTAATGTGGTATTACGGTCTAAGTCCAAATTTAAGTAGGATATTGACTCAGAGCTAGAACTTAAGAACACATTGTAGCCAAACTTGGAAACCCACCTCAAGTCAGAATGACTAGTCTTTTAAAGACATGAATATTTCAACCGAATGAAAATTAACAAAACTAAAACCTATAGTGGCCACAATTGCTAGCCAATAACAATCATACAAATTTTCAGTCTTTCTTATTACAATGCCTATAATAGTTTGTTCAATTTTTTTTACGCCAGTTGAACATGTAAAATAGAAAATATATACAAGTGTCATAAAATAGAGAAAATAGTTGAAAGACATCATGTTGATTCTTCGAAGGGATACCCATACGGTAGTGCACCACATTGTGGTCCACATTTTTTTTTTTTTTTTAAATCTAATGTTAAATTATATGTAAAGAAAAATAAACGTTTATACATTTGAATGCAAACTTTTTATAACTTCTAAAGAAAAGAGTCTAACTTTTTTATTGTCTTGTTGCTAACGACGTTTGGATGTTGCCATCGAAGTCTCCTCCTCTTGTGATCGTGGACGGCCGATTTCGCATATTTTTGTCTATCAGTTTTACCAGCCTTTCCGTCGGAGAAGGTGGTTCGCCATGTCGTCTGTTATTCCTCTCTCCCAAATAGAATGTATCGTGTTTTGGAAAGTATATCCAAGAAGAAATCTCTTAACCTTGTCCAAATCTTTTCTGGCTAGCATCATCATCACATCAGTCCAGTTCGTCGAGAAGTGTTCATTGAGTATTCCTCTCACTAGCTCGTCTTAAATCTTATGTGAGTAGTGCACCACATTCAAATGTCTAAATTTTCTAAAATTCCTATATACCCTTGAGTATTGCTTAGTCAGAAACCAAATGGATTCGGCCAGCTTTAGGACACGCCACTTACGAGTCAGTCACCTCCTAGCCGCCAATCTGTGTGTGCTCCAATATCTTGCCATAGCCAGTGATCATAGTATACATGGGTATCGTAGATTAAAAGGCTATGAAGTCCCAATGGGTGGGATTAGAATAGATATGGTTAAAGAATCATCATTTTCCAAAGATTAAAGTAATCTCTTTAGCATTAAGCCACATGCTTCCAAAAGCCACGATCACTTGACCAACAATATTATGATCTTAATGGATTATCCAATGTTGAAAACCAATGTAACCGATGCTCACTAGTCTTGAATCTCGGTATTATGTCCAATATAACTGATGATCATGGATAAGACGCAGTCATTTATGTTCCATTACAAAGTGAATGTCATGCACTTTCCTTAAAGGTTGAATCATATTTTTATTTATCATGCACTTTCCTTAAATGTTGAACTATATTTTTATTTATTTTTTTTGCTTTCTCGCATTAGTTTTTTGGTCACTCTCAAATTGTAAGATTTCAACTCTTGCTTTATATATCATTTACTTTGAACGATAAGTTTTGAAACCAACCTCATATCTTTTTAAACAATTGTACTATCATTGGAAATACTTATTTTCTCACTTGAATCTTCATCAATATGTAGACATTCACCATAAGTTTGTTTGAAATCTTATCAAGAGAACAATAAATCTTCCATAAACACCTTAGTGTGAAATTTCACTTTTCGATAAACTGACGAGAATAAGAACACAAATGTGTTAGAAAAGAGTATATTAAACTCTAAAAATAATAATGTTACAAGATACATCTATACATATATCTTATATATATATATATATAACACTAAACCTAATTCTTTAAATTACGATAAAAATAAATGTAGATATTCCTAAATTAAGATATTGACAAATATATCTTCTAGATTTTTTACCATTTTCATAATTTTGATATGGTCGATCTCATAAATCTTCCAATATTTTTAAAGACAAAATTTCATTTTAAATTATATTCACATAAATCTCATTCATCTTCAATATAATTCGATCTTGGAAGTATATATATTTTTCATCTCACAAGTCGTCGCTGATTCCATATCATCGTTATTCATCAACATCATCAACTGTAACTATTCATACAAGTTTCCTTTAATGGAGACTAACTACCGTTTAGCATTTATGTAAATAATAACTAGGTCTTACGAGAGTAAGTTCTTAAGGTTAATTAAAGCATTTATAAATTAAAAAAAAAACTACATAAATGATGTTTTTCTCAGACCAAAATATTAAAATTAATTAATTGCTGTTTTCAATTATAAAGGATAACCAGATTTGTAATGGTTTTCTCTATTTTTCTGTACAAACAAATAAATAAATAAATAAAAAGTAAAAAACCATGATATATTTTTTGTTATGTCAATTCAAAATAGGAAAAAGATGAAATTGCTATATATAAAAATATATATAAAAAAAGAGGTAAGAAACTAGGGTTTTTGGGGTTATACGTTTCACTGTTTGTTTCATTGTCTCGCTTATTCTCTCTTAAAGAGTGTCGCCACCAAAAACAACACACACACTTGCCTCCTTCATTCTTCGACCCTCTCTTCATCACATTGCGTCTTCTCCTTCCGATCCTTCAATCCTCGTTCCGTTTTTGATCCAATTGAATCGCTTCCGTCTTTTGATTCTGTTTATCTTTGCAAGTTTCTGATGATGGCGGAGACTGAAGGATCAGTGGCCGATGATCGAGAATTGATCAGCCGTGAAGGTGCTATTGGGACTAAGTCTCCGTGGAAAACTACGGCTTCTACTGCTGAGACTATTGACGCTCCTGTTATGGGAGCTCATTCATGGCCTGCGCTCGCCGATGCTGCGCAACAACCGCGTCCCAAGAATCCTCCGGCGCCTGCACCTGCACCGCCGTCTAAAAACATTCCGACATCTATCCCAATCCCTTCTCAGGTTAGTCAAATAACCGACTTTGTTCCGAATGTTGTGCCTTTATTGAGTATTAATTTCCGATTTAGAGGTGCGTTGAGCTGAGAGTTATCTGATACTGAATATCAATTGTGTTCGTGATTGGTTTAAGTTGATCAAATTGGTTTTTTAGTGTGATTACTGTGATTCACTCTCTTGAAAAGTCTTTTTTTTTAGCATTGAATTTGGAGCTTAAACTTTGCCACTAAAAGATCTTTTGTTTGTTGTTTAGGCTGTAGCTGGTCAAGCGAAATCTAAGGGTGGTGGAAAGGCTAATCCTGGGCACAAGAATCCATCTGGCCGTCATTCTAAACCAGGCTCCAGGAGCAACCAAAATGGTCCTCCTCCACCTCCTCCTCCTCCTTATCTCGTGCATGCTGTACCGTATCATCCACCTCCTTTTCCACCTATGGTGCCTCTGCCACATGCTGCTGCTCCTGATTTTCCATATGCTCCTTATCCTCCCTACCCGGTTCCTGTACCTCCTGTTTCGGAGTCTGGCAATGAGAAGCAAGTTCAAGCTTCCCCTCTTCCACCTGTGCTGCCACCTCCTCAAGGGGATCCTGGAAAGCCTTGGCCGCATCAGAGGGGTTTTGACCCCAGAAACATGCCTCAAGGAGGTGCTGGACCAAGAAACTTCGGGAGACCTCCATTTATGGGTCCAGCTCCTGGGTTCCTCGTTGGTCCAGGTCCAGGCTTTCCTGGTAAGTTATTGATTCTTTGTCAAGGTGTTTTTAAAAAGGGACTGCCTGAGAGCCGTTAATAAATATTAAGATAAAGGATAACTGTTCGTTTTTGGTGTATGATTGCTGTTTCTGTTTCTTCATTTGACACAGGGCCTGTATACTACTTGCCGGGTCCACCCCCTGGAGCTATAAGAGGTCCTTATCCTCCACGCTTTGCTCCATACCCTGTAAACCAGGGTCCTCCAGTACTATCTCCAGAAAAACTCGACTTAAGGGATAGAGTCTTAAAACAAGTAGAGTATTATTTCAGGCAAGTTATGCTTCTCTACATCAATCTTTTTGTGCTTTTAGATTGTATTCAGCTTAGTCCTTTATTGTGCCTCTGGGAATTTCATATTACCTTCCGTTTATTTATTCCCTTTTCAGTGATGAAAACCTTGAGAATGATCATTACCTCATTTCCTTGATGGATGAAGAAGGATGGGTTCCCACAAAAATTATAGCTGGCTTCAAAAGGGTAAAATTAGTAACATGAGCTTGACTTGCTTTCTTTTGTAGTAGTCTATTCTGTCATTTGTGTTATTACACAAGTGTGTTGCTTTTAATATTTTTTTTTACTCTTGAATTGCAGGTTAAAGCAATGACCATGGATGTTGACTTTATTGTCTATGCGTTGGGGTTTTCTAATTCTGTTGAAGTGCAGGTCAGACCACCATAAGCCACCTTGCTTCTTTTCTGGTTTAAATGCTAAAGTCTTACTTTTGTGAATGGGGTTTTACTAAGACTCGGGTTCAGATTAGCTTTTGTATTAAAAAAATATTTCCTTGAACACTTTGGTTTCTTCGGTTGTATTGTGTATTTCTACTATGGTGAGGCTATCACCAAAAAAATGGGTTAGAATTTTGTCTCTGAATAATAGTTTAAAGAAGCCTCTTTGATTATTCTAACCTAACTTAGAGCATGCTTGGTTTCCACGGGTGTAAGGCCTACTTTGTTTGTCAAAGCAGTAAAAAATGCTGGTACATCTTATCTGTTGGATCCTAATTTGAAATGCTGGTACTTTTACAGGGTGACCAGATACGCAAGCGTGACAAGTGGTCTGACTGGATTCCTGCATCTAAAAAGTCAGCCTCTGTAGAGAAAATTGGAGACAGTGACAAAGATTCCCCAGAAAGTATAACAAGCGGGGACAATTTTGGAAACCCTTCAAAGGGTTCTTCAAAGCCTACCATTTCCGATTTCTCTTCAAAGGTAAAACTTTTTTTTTTCTTTTAGTAGAGAGAGCCAGCCAATGAAATTTTAGTTTTTGCTCCAGTCATAGATTTTCCATTGTGTGGTACAGGGAGCTCAGTCATCAAGAACCAATAACTATAAAAGTGGTAACCTGAAATCATCAGCAGACGAAAAAAGAAATGTGGAGGACTTGTCAAACGATTTTTCAAACACTTTCTTGCTTGACGAGGAACTAGATCTGGAGCACAGAAGCCCGAGAAAGAGTGGACTGTCCATGTCCAAAAGGTAGTGCGTGCACAACTTAATTACTCCTGCTATTTGCTTTCTGCTCTTTTTGTTTCCAAGATGCCTTCTTTTTCATATGAATCTTAAACTGCATGTATAAAGTACTGACTACAGTTGATGCTTTGGTTTATTTGACATTTTGTAGCATTGAGTATGAAGACGATGATATGGTTGTTGATGATCAAGATATTCAAAAACTTGTAATTGTTACCCAGGTATTACACGGAACTTTTTATATATTCCCTTGTAAGGGAAATCAATTATTCATGTTCCGTTATATGCTGGACAGAATAGTGGTAAAAGTGATGGCACTGGGATCGGTGGGACGAAAGCAAAAAATATTCCTAAGGAGCTTGCCTCCACAATAAACGATGGTCTTTACTACTTTGAGCAGGTAAGGAATCTTTTGCTATAATAATATGATTTACCTCTTTGGAGTCCAATTTCTGATCATTACCTATGAATCAGGAGCTGAAAAAAAATCGGTCTGGCCGTAGGAAGAACAACTCCCATTTGGATACCAAAGATGGGAAAATCAAATCTGGGGGAGGATTAAACACGAAATTGGAAGAAAATTCCGCAGCAAATGAAGGAGGAGGGGAAGAGCATGGAATCATTACTTCACGGAGGAAGCAAAATAAGGGAACGCACAAACATCATACAGCCCATGCACGGAGGTTCTTCTCGAGTAACATAAGGAACCATGGAAATATATCAGAAAGTCCGCCTAGTAGCTCCATTGGATTTTTCTTTGGTTCTACACCACCAGACAGTCATGGGTCAGTATCCTAGCAATCCTTAATATTGCCAACTTATTCTTATTTTTTATTTATCACTTGTCCTTAATATCATGTTTTTTAATTGACGTTTCACAGCCCTAGGCTTTCGAAATTGAGTTCATCTCCACAATGTACACTTTCT